CTCTGCAGTCCAACAAGTTGATGCGAATTTAGTGTTTGCACTAGTGTTGGTGCACAAGGTAGGGCCAGTCAAGTCCAGAACTCAAGTTGTTACTGACCCATTTCGATCAATTCAGCGGGCCTGTGACCCGTGACTGTTTGGCCGAAATGTCCAATTCGGCTGCAGACTGAATTTCGCGTGACCTATTCCCCGATTAGGATGTTTGGCGCACCACAGGTGACGAAAATTTGAAAATTTTTCTGATTGGGACAGTTTGGGACCAAAAGATTTGGCTGTGACCTGTGACCCGCCGAAATATTTCGGCCAAAAAATCCGATGTGACCGTGACCCGCCTAATTGAATGAAATAGGTCAGTATCTTCAGTGTTGGGTCCACCTGTCCATCTCCAGGTTGTGATCCTGCAAAGAAACCGGATCTGTTTTAGATCACTTCCGCGACAGGTTCTAACTGGTGTGTTGGAACTTAACTTGGTTCCAGAGCTACATTTGCAATGAACAAGTTCACCAAAAGCCAAGTTGACATGGCCGAGCCTCGGCTTGATGGTCTATCTGCTGCTCTGACGTGCTATACGGCCCTCTAAACTTTGTTCTTACCACTTCCACGACAGCCGCCACTGTAGCACCTTCTGCCACTATTTGACAGCCTGATCCGCAATCGACCCGTAAGTGGCGTGCTTCTTGCCTTATCAAACAGTACCAATCAACTAATGAACCATTGATTGTGATGGAGGCACGTGTTACATATTCATATTTTGCAGCTGAATATGATTATATTATACTACAAATATATTATTGGGTTGAAGCTCTGAATATGATATGATTATAATATATTATGCCCATAAAATAATATAATCATATTTGGCCAGCACTAGTTGATTGTGATGGAGGCACGTGTCCAGCAACAACTTGCTTGAAGTTGCTTCTGCCCGTCATGTCCGAGCCCGAGTCGGCGCGGGACTGGGATAGGTACGCCGTCGCGCTCCTTCGGGCGCCGCTGACAAGGGCAACTCCTGCCCGTGAGATCCCGCTCGCTCAACACGCTGCGCCGGTCCAACGCTGTCCCGAGCGAGACGGCGGCCCGCGCGAGGGGAGGCGTTTCTGGAGGGAGATGGCGCGGGCCCTGCCGACGCCAAAAGCACCGAGAAATCACCTCGCAACAGCCTCTCACTGCTATCTCCTCATCGCCATCTGCCATCTGCCGTCGCTCTGCCGTCCCCGGTCAGATGCACGGTGTTTGCAACCTGCCGACGAGAGGGGCGGGCGATCGCTGATTGGGAGGCAACCCTACCTGGGCGACGCCCGTCGACGGGCCGATTGGGTCCCGACGAGCGCAACATGTGCGCATCGTAGCATGTGGACTTGATCTGGACAGTGCGCCATGGTTGTCGGCGTGATTAGGTGATTTGGCGTCGCGTGCGCGGCGAGACGGCACGGATGACGTGGGCGGAGTGGTGTAAGCGTGCAAGGCGGACACTGGCGAGCGGAAATCCGAGTTGAACAGGCGCAAGACGAGCTCCGACTCCGTCTTGCGGGTGGGCACGCTGGCCCCAGCTGGCAACGCGCCGTTGCCTGGGCAAAGCACCTACTCGCCGGAACACGCAGGCAGCACTGCCGCTGAGCATGCGCCATGATGGCCAGGGGGCGGGCATCTCGGGCTGCCGAAGGGTGCACGTGTGATGCATGTGGCTGCGGGGCTATCGCGATATCGGCGGCCCTAGCCCTAGGTCCGTCACGAAGTATTGCAACAGAAGGTGGTCATGTCAAATTTTGACATGCCGCCAGCGTTGCCGACCGCCAAGCGAGGACCCCAGCCTACCGTGGTACCCTCGGCTATCTTGCCAGCCTATCACGTGACCGTCCACGTCACTCAGCCACTTCTCCCATCTCCACTCTGCGTCAAGTCCCCAGGCCCACATTGGGCAGAAGCTCGCCATATGATCGACGCTCAACTTACCATAGAAGGAAGCACCGTTCCGACTCCACGCAAACCCCAGTGCCAGACTGCCAGTGGCCTTTACTTATCCGCGGCCACGGCTGGGCACATCTCTTGCTTGTGCTGCGTCTCGGCACTCTGTGGTGGGCTTTATCATAGGCAATAGCCGCTACCCTGCTTCTCCCAAGCGTCTCCCTCCCTTCGTGAGCGGCGCGGCGAGCCCCCAGGCGGCAGAAGCTGAAAACTCGGCGCCCAGACCCAGCCTTGCCAACCACGCGCCAAACGGCGGTCCTGGAGCCGATTCTAATGTCTCGCCGCCCTTGTTGATCAATTTCCTCCAGAACAACTTTATGAGCACGAACAACAATGATCCAACAACCATCCCCGCCATTGAACACTCTTGCGCTTGCAGCTGCGAGCGCGGCCTGCCCAACGCTGAGCCCCCAACTCTCAGCCCAAGACTCGCGCAACGACACTGTCTCCGCGCCACCGACGTGCCATCTCCGCCCCAGCCTAACTCAGTCCTCGTCGTCTAATTCGCTGGAGGATGCCTCATAACGATGAACACAGCAACAAGACTGACCTAGCCGGAAACCTGCACCGCCAACACCAAGCAGGCCATCGAGCAGGGCGACGACAATATTGCCCACTCCGGCGGAACACACCTGACATCGGACGGTCGTCGCCGGTGAGTGATTGGAGAATGTTCTTGCCGTCCTTTGCGCTGAAGGGCATTCACGTCGTGGTCATCGTTCGTCACGAGCTTCTGAAATGTGAGTGGTATTTATTGCAAGTGGTACAACTCAGTGCTCACCGTTGTCACAGATATCGTTGCCTTGAGATCTAACAACAAGTCAGCGATGGTACCGCGACTGCAATGAAGTAAGCCGATGGCTGCTAGAAGAAACGCTCGAGAAACGCAGAACATTGGCAGACGTACGGCGGGATGCACCTCGGGACTCGGACAACACGGTTGTTGTTGTTGAAGATATTGGGCCCCGACCAATGCGAACATGGCCATGGTCGCGATCCGAGTCTGCTTGACGGCAAGGGACATTTGAAGCCGCAAGCGCAATATTCACTGTGGGGAGGTCCATCTGCGCCACCGACGCCGAGCGCCCAGTTCCGGCCTGAACGATCCCGATTCTGCCATTATACCCTTTCCACAACATGATCGTCTTCCGGCACAACCCGGCGAGGCATGTTTGGCAAAGAACTTCGCTATTGCTGAGATGAAGACGGGTGTTCACCCACACAAATGGGCTGCAGTGTTGCTCACGGACGTCCACCCAGATCGTGTTCGCTCTTCAAGTTGTCGCTCCTCGTCAGCAAATTTGTCTTGGCGCCGCGCGATGGGATGCAGACCTGTGAATGTTCCACGGGCCGGGCCGCATCCAAAGGTCGCGGGGGAGTCGACTCCACTCCTTCGGCGAAAGCCCGCCACACATAGTATGTGTGGCTAGTAGCGTGGCCACTGTGATCAACGCTTAACTCGACATAGAACCAGGCCTCATGATCAAGCTCGATGGCTGTATCCTGAGCCAAATCCGCGCCGATCTTACGATCGCCATTCGAAGGCGCCGAGGGCGGTTGTCTCTCACCGCTCGCCCATTCGAACTTTCAGCGTCTCGCAAGGGAAGCGCTGACCTTGCTCGCACGCAGTCGTTTGGCGGGAATTGGTACCAAAGTTACCAAACACTGCGCGGGATGGGCGGGGAAGGTCAGGGGGGCCTCTCAGGACTGCATTTTGGTGTTACTTCACTACATGATGTGTGGGTATATTGAACTTGAATTCCAAGTTTAGTAGTAGTATGTAGTACTACTAGTAGTATGTAGAATTTAGAAAACAAAATAGCTGGTTTTCTTCAGGCTTGGTGAGATTAAGAATTTAATATGTTGGCAGAGTATTAGTACTTACCACTAGGCACATTCTCCCCAGCTGCTTCAGGGGTATCCTCCGGGACGACACAGGCCAATGCCGCTAGCAGCCCGGACGCCGGCCACATTCATGATAAGTATCCCTCGGCTCCCAGTCTCCGGATCCACCAACGCCAAATTCTGCCCACCGCTATAGGCGCACAGTAAACTCGGACCGACTGGGATGCGACAAGAATGAATGTCGGATAACAGACTCCGATAACTTGAAATGGCCCGGGAACAATGCAAATGATGAGCCTGAGCCCGCGTCGATTGTGCGACGGTGGGCCATGGCCAGCCACTTGGACGATGTTGTGGCACTGGCATATCATCTGAGGCTCAGGAGCCTCTGCATCTGGAGGACTGGAAGCATCGCCGACCGTGGTCCGTGGCGCCGGACACGGCTGATTCCTATCACTGGGGTCCTGATCACTTGGCATGTGAAGTCCCCCCATCGCCTAACACCCGGCAACGCTGGCGGCATGTCAAAATTTGACATGACCACCTTCTGTTGCAATAACGAAGGGTTGCAACACTGTGTGGAGAGTTGGAACAAAGTTGGACTCACAGGTTGAAATATCTGGGAATTGGACTCCTGCGTCATTCGCCAGCGGCGCGCGGTGATCGGTGATCGGTGTCTCGAGAGAGGGCCTGGGCCGCTGACCGATCAACGGAGATCTAAAATTTGGCAGTCCGATGACGTGGTCGTTCACAGGTACTGGCATACCACCTACGAGGTCGTAGACTGGCTCAGGCTTGCTCACCTTCGTCCCGGCCGCGCGCCACCCACACGCGCCCATCCGTCGGCCGACTTCGACTGGTGGGCCGATTCGCGACCCGGATTCTACATAGTTTACGTCGCCGTGCCGCGTGGAAAACCGACGCGCGGGCGGATCGCGGAGATTGGAGGCGGACGCCGGTCCGATTTCACAGCCATCAGTGTGCGAATATAACGGGATAACGCCCGATGGGGTATACCCAAATGCGGTATCCCCGTGCTCGGACGTCCTTCCTTTGCGGAGCTTGGTACCCCAGGCGGAGCGGGAGTAAGAAGCTGGGCAACGCCACGGGTGGCGAAACGCCGGGCTTCCTCTCTTGGGAGCTAACTTAGTGCGGGCGGAAGCGAGCGAGGTCGAAACACCCGCTGGGCAATGGCGAATGCGGGCCCCGGGCCGAGATCGAGATCCGATGTGACTCGATGTGCGGGATGATGACGGCGTTATCCCTTGGATGAAATTTATAAGGCGTACGTATACGTCAAGCCATTTCCCGTTCCCCGTCTCTTGTTCTCATACCACCACGACCACAATGGCCACACAGACGCTCCCGCCGCCGCACCCCATCCGCTTGCCGTCATACAAGGAGCTCGCCCGCGCTGCTGACATCGACGGCCCTTTTTCCCCGCCCGTTCCAGCCGGTGCCTAGACCGACAAAAGGCGTTGTTTTGCCGCCACTCAAAGTGGTGCGTGGCCTCCCCAACGAAAATGAAGTTACTAACGGCACCAGCCTTCGCGACCACTGAGGAAAGAAGACGGTCCAGTGCACGACCGCTTTCTCGACTTGGCGCGCCACTGTCCCGCTGCACCGCCGCCCGACAAGGAGTGGACCTCGCCGTCCCCGTACTCCGCCTACCGTCCAACCTCCGCGTCGACTACGACACCCGTTACCACCGCTTTGCCGACGCCCATCGTCTCTCGCCCCTCGCTAGTTCCGCATATCATCCACACCCTGGAGCAGCAACCGCAGCAACCGCTCCCACAGTACGACCCTCTCAACAGCGAGCCTCTCCGCTTCAGCCACGCAGCGCGCCCCGGCTTCGGCCCGCCCGGCCGCACGAAGAAGCAGGCGCTCTCGTGCTTCTTTTGCAGGGAGCGCAAGATTGCGTGTGGGCGGCCGGAAGATGGGAGTGTGGATGGGCGGTGCAAGTGCGTTTCTCTCTTCCGCTTTTCCCCGCTGGCGCTGAACAATGGACAAGTCAGTGCGCCCGACGCAAGATTGCGTGTACCTACCCCACGGTGTCCCATCGGGGCCAGCATTCGCGCCTGAAGAGCGCCGCGCGCAGCGGAAACCGCAGTCATAAAGGCGCTGGGCCGGAAATGGAGGGGGGGTCGTTGTCGCCGTCGCCCGAGCGCACCGCCAGCCCACTATCTGCGTCGTCGCGTGACTCGTATGCTGGTGTGCCGATGTTGTCCCTGCACGCGCAGAGTCGGTATGGCCACGGGATGTCGTGACCGCCGTGATGGGCGGACACTGAGTCTCGGGTGGGAGGCAAATATTTGGCTATGAATTTCCTGCGCAGGCGGGATGACTGGAGGATGTGGCCGCAGTATGTCCGGCTCTTCCAGACGGGCTGTTGGTAGGCCCAGCGGAGTTGGAGGGGGAGAGAGACAGGATGATGCGCGCCGTTTTGGTGATGATACCCGTAGTGCACAAGAAGAAGAGAATAGAGCTTGAAGGAGAATGTGTGTAAGTAGGTAGTATTTTGGAACTTGGTCTGAAGCAGATGAACGAAAGCTCTCCTTGGGGGCACGGGTGCTGTCGGGCGTCTGTTTGGTCGGCGACTACTCGATTCAGGTGGTTAAGAATTAAGACGCCGTTGTGGACCCGGGCTTCGACCTTGGATAGCGACTGACACGGAGGCCGGTGTGGCGGGTCCCCGACGGCGCTGCGGGTTGCATGCAACTGAAAGGCTCGGCGATGGGATCCCGCAGAAGTCCCAGAGAAAGCGATCCGGGTGCCAGGATCGCACGGTGAGCGGCAATTCCCGCGAGGTCACCGTCCCGTCAAGTCGTGACAGTTGGGCAACTTCAAGTTGCGATAGATGGGCCGCGGAAGAACGCCGTTTGGCTTGGACGGCGTGGGCGGTTGGAATGGATGCATTTGCCATTGAAGGTTGGGCCGGAATGCTTATCAGCGTCCCCGGTGCGTGTTGCAGATGCAACTAAGATCAGCTGACCCCGTCCCCGCCCGACCGCGCCCGACCGCGCCCGACCTCCTGCGCACACGGGCTGGCGCGGGAATTGCTGCATGTTTATTTCTGCGCACGTTGGATCTCGGAGGTGGTACGTCCGACGAAAGCATCCGTGGCGCTGGACTCCACCGACCTTCTTCTTCTCGGAGCGGTGTTCCTTCCCTGGTGCTTCGACTTCCATCAGGCACGTCGCACGTCGCGCGGGAGTTGTTGCGTGTATCGCATCTGCTATCAGCGCCGCCGTCCCTCGTGCACACGCGTCATGCGCTGTCGGAGGCGGTCATATGACCGTGCTGTGGCGCTTCGGACTGATGACGGCCGGGGAACCGGGAATTACACAGCCCGCGATGGGAACGATACGACCAGGGGCTCAGGACGCCGTTCGTCCAGGGTCAGGACCACATTCTCCCGTGCCACATGGCGAGCGCCCACGCCGGAGCCTATCGATAACGAACGCCACCAATGCCTCGCCCAAGTCTATCCACAGCGGCGAGTCTGGCACGTACCCGAGCTGCCCGAAATGCACCTCGCGATCGTGCCGCCTGTTCCCCTCCACCTCGCAATTTAAGGTTGATTTAATGGCTCGGGGCACGGCGATTAGGACTGCGCCTCCCTACGACGGTAGCATTTGCACAGACAGCGGCAGATCGCCTGATAGTGCAGATGTGATACTGATAGTGGTGATAGACGGGAAGGGAAGCCGATCAGACGTCACCCATCGGCGTCCGTCCGACATGTGCGAAGACTTGAACTTGAAGATTGCATCCGCCGCCCGCATGATGCTAACGGCCGGCGCTGTTCTGACATTTTTCAGGCAAAAATTGCTGAAGAAAGTTCAAATTGATTTGGAAAAAAAATTTGATCAAAAATTTCAAAATCTTTACTTAACTTTTCACAGAGAAAAATTCTAGAAATAGCTCAGTGACCACTGGTAACAGTTGCAAAAATTGCAGCAATGTCACGCGGATGCACAGCATCCAAAAAGGGAATTTACCCATATGACCTGTGCCCTCTTGTCGGGATTGATGCGCTGTGGCACACTGACAATTTGATTGAGAGCAGATAAAGAATATTGTAAGTATTTATTCATGCCAATATTCACAGTACTATGTAGATGTAGCCCCACAACCGGCCCCTTGCCGGGGACTGCGGGGTTCTTCCGCAGCCTCTCGCGTCCGGGCCAGGCTCTGAGGCTCCCGTCCGGCCATCCGCTGGCAGATATACTCCATGTCACTCGGCGCGGCCTCTGATGCCAGGAAGCGCAACTCCTCACGCTCCTCTCACGCCGCATTTGGTGGTGCCAGTCGGTGTCTCGGTGTAGTGATGCCACCCCCAAACTTGGCAGGCCAGTGCCAAGTTTGAGCCTCGCGGGTCACAGGGTTGACTGCCAAGTGGTGAGCGCGTTGACAAAGATGGTGCAGTGGGTACGAGCGGCTATGCCACTCACAGAGCAGAGGGGGGCAATGAAAAGCAGGGTAATGGGGGAGCGAAAGCCTGAGGAATGGTGACACAATAGTCACAGACCTCACAGAAGGCGGGCAGCGGGCGCATGTGATCCTTTACCCTTTTTAGGAAACACGTGACGTTGCTGGAAATTTAAGAACTACTGGTAACTCTCATCTCCATTGTCCCCTATCCTGTCACAAAGAGGGAGTGCACCTAGGCCCGGGAGCATCTATACTCCACATGCACATTTGACTACTTCCAGCACCATAAACATATATGTCGCTGTCTTTTAACTTACATCTGCTTATCTAAGGGGATACAAAATTGAATTTCTCTGGCACTTGTAGAGGTTGTGAAGACCGGGAATTGCAAAATAAACTCACAGGGATGATTGGCCTATGGGCAAGACAGCATGGTGAACATTGAACAAAGTGTGCCACTTCTTTTGTTGCAATCAAGTTCGCTGGCAGCCAGCCAATAAATTGATGGATTTTGACACATTTTGATGGGAATTGAGCCATTTACACATTGCTTGATTGCTGGTGCTCAGTTCAAAGGGTCTACTGACATATCACCAGAACTTAAGGTCATATTACTACAGTAGGAGGGATACAACTATTTTATTGCTACTTTTAAAAATTCCAAATAAAATAGAAACTCAAACATAAACAGTAATATATGTGTAAAACTATTTTACAAAAGACTTTGACACAAATTGAATAGTGGTTCCACTGGCAGATAAACTTTAGGGCTTTAAAACACTTTGGCACTGTCTTGAAACTCACAGCTCAAGTGATTATGTTTTCCCCTACACTAGATCATAAAGATCAACAAGTTACTTGAACTACACTGTTAATACTGACTTCAATCTGCTATAAGTGGAAACCATTTGAACTATTGATTTATGTTTGATTCTGTTTGCCCAAGTTCACAAATAAAATGGTCATGTAAGTGTTTATTACCAATATTTACAAATGGAAAAGGTTGGAGCCCTAAACAGGAGGCCTAGAGCTTTGCTGAAGAACAGCCTACGATGGAGCCGACGGTCAAGCCAAACTTCTGTGCCAAGGCCTCTTAGAAAGGCGGTGCTGGGACCAACATGCATGATGGAGATGCTAGAGGCGGTGCTGGCTCCGGGAAGGGCCAGGTTAGGTGCCCCACGCACGCGACTGAGCACACACATGCTACTACTGACAGTAAACCAGACTCTGGGCCAGAACATCCCTGTAATTCATGTAGTACATACAATATAGCGATGACTAGCCAAAAATCGAACTCCCAGGTGCTGTCCAGTCGCCGCCCGAAGCTCCTTCAACCGGCGAGCGAAGTCTGACGTTTCCACTCTGATCTCCTCCCAGCGACGGATGCCAGCAGCCGCAATCTGAATCGACTCTGCTGCTGTCCGTCGGGCCCGCTGATGAGTGCGGAGTGGGGACAGCAAATGAGCTCTCTAACTAACCAAACCAACAAAAACAACCAAAACTCCACTTTTCGTAGAGAGAAAGATGTATAATGTCAAGTAGGAAAAGTCACAAAACCCAAAATCGTCAACTCCTTGTGCGAGTACAGGCCCCTGTGAACAGAGCCTTGGCACAGATGTGTAAGGTTGTAGGGTAGATACGAGTTTCTTGCGAAAAATGTTGATTTGTTGTGCCCCAAAGCGTACTATCGACGAAACTTGGATCAGGACTAACTGCCTTAAACCCTCTGAGTTGTCTCGAGTCAGGAACTAACCGCCTTAAACTCTCGACCAGCAACCGAAACCCAATAAACAGCAACCGGAACTCTTGTATTCAGCAACCGAAACCCTCAACCAAGCAACCGAAACCCTCAACCAATAATCCTTCCGACGCGATGATACTATTTCGAAAGAGCTAGCAAGATAGATTGACGAGCTAGATCCCCAGATGCACCTAGTAAAGCGGGGCAATCCGTGAACCTGCCAAATACAAAACAGAGATATAAATACTAAACTGAGATTGATAGAATCAGGGAAAATCTTGAGTAAGAAAAGTCGTCCATGTGCATAATTGTATAGGTATCGTTTCGCCATACGGCCCAGAGTCCAAAATCCAGGTCCAGATGACTGGTATCGCGTGTATTGGAGTCAATGACCTGTGTAAATCTTCCGTGTTCGCGACCATCTAGTTTCCCTTGTGAAGAATCCCTCGATCTTGAGTAGGATAAGTGGATAGCTCTGCTTCCCAGCTTTCGATTGACACCCATAACTTGTATCTTGTGCATATGGCCTCAGCGGTGGTTGTCCCAACTCTCCTGGCGCATTTCCAATGTTCAGATGATCAGTTCCTCGACAGTGTTTTAGAGTCGCCGTTGATCACAGGTCCAGGCCCCAATCAATTGAGTAGGTTTTCGCCGTTTAACCGTCCCTTGGCACTCTCGATCCTCCAGCATGATCCGAAACCACGTTCCAATGATGTCAGTCGTCGATACCAACAGAGATAGGGGTGTCCCTTATCTAGCAGAAGTCGATCTCGAGTCTCCACTGAGCGCCAAACCGAATATGTGTCAACGTCGGGCTCGGGCCGTATCGGGGCGTCGGGGGGTCCGACTTCGAGAGGGTCTGAGGAGCACGAAAGATGGGTGTTCGCCCGGAGAATAGACGATATTAGCCTAGCGACTACATCTTGTAAGTACAGTTTTTATACACCATGGTATTAGGGATGGATCGGATGGGCGCCAGGCCCCAGGGCGGATCGGATGGGCGCTGCGTAGGGCCGCAGGGGTGAAGGGAAGGGGCTGGAAGAATGAGGGAGCGTCGAGGAGTATGGGGGTATGCGGGCCCGTGCGTCCTCG